ACGTCCATGCATGAGACTTTTATGCTCAAAAGACCAAAAATAGGGTTTATTTCACACATGGGGTTCTCATGGCCATAAAGATGGCACCTTTATGCCATAAGGACCCTCCAAGGTTCCAGATCTGAGGGTAAATCGACTTGGGACGTCCAAGTCTCAAGGATCAAGCTTCTTGGACCCAAAACTCCATAAAGTGACAATAAGAAGATCTATGAAACTACAAGTCAAGTATGAAGCTTGATTACCAAAAAGTGAAGAGAAACTAATGTTGTTCTTGGATCTATAATCTTCTCTTGAAGTCCTCCTTCTTCCTCTTCTTCACACAAGCTTCAAATCACAATAAATTACTCAAAAATGGTATTCAAACACTCACAATGCTCAAGGTGGCGATTTAGGGTTTTCTGGATGCTAAGGGGGTGATAAGGGAGGCCACAAGGATGATATGTTTCTTTAAATAGGGGGACAAACCCTTAAAATTAGGGTTTCCATATGACAACTCCTACTCGCCGAGTCGGTCTTCCGACTCGCCGAGTAGGTCACTTAGTTCCCGACCCGGATTCGATCCTACTCGACGAGTTAGGCCTCCAACTCGTCGAGTCCAAGGGTGAAATAAGTTGTTGGCTCAAATTAAATGCATACCTGGAACTGGGTGTTACACATGGTCCATTTGGGTTGCATGGCATCGGAACAATTTGGATAGACTTTTGTGAGATCATATTATTTAATTTGTATTGATCAAGAATTAATTTGGAATTACTTTTGTGATCAAAAGGAGACTAATTAAATATATGGGGACTGATTGTGTAAATCATTCATTCTTATATATGTGGGCTTATGATCCATAGTTCTTCATGTTGGGCTAAACCCATGGAGTAACCCATGGATACTCCATGGAGGTTTTAACCCATGGAGCATGAAGAATATGGAAAGACATGGGTTACATGGTATAACCCTAATAGCCACAATATATAAGGACCCCATGGCTCAAGAAATTGGCACTAGTGTGTGTACACATGAGGGCTAGCCGATTTGAGCATAGGAACCTTTATCTCTCAAGTTATTCCAAGATGTTGGTGATGTTGTGTGAACCATTTGAGGTGTCACACTTGAGGCACTAGGCTCTTAAGCTCCATGGAATCAAGCTACATAAAAAAAAGGTATGTCTTCTAACTTGTTTATATTACCCCAAGTATCTATAATTGTATGCTAGTTAGGGTAATACCTTGGAAAGTTCAAGTTTGCATGTATAATAGAGAAAACATAGATCCAAGGTATTTAGGGTTGCATGTACACCATAGGAGTGTTAGAATGCTCAAAACCCATCACTTTTCTCCAAAACGACTTAATCCCTTAAGACCCTTCGTCCAAACTACAGATCTGAGTCCCATGCTTCGTCCCAACCCTTAAAGTTGATCACTTGGTGGCTTGCAACCCACCAAATGAGCCCATCACCAAGAATAACAATGAACTTCCATAAAAATGGTTATATCTCTTGCATGGCTTCATAAAAGCCTCAAAGTTTGCAACTTTATGGCTAAAGGAACTCATTGAGCTTTAAGGGTGGCAACCCTAAGCTCAAAATCGAAGTTGCAAGATCAAGATCCAATCTTTGGACCTAAAAAGGTCCAAATCTTCAAAACCCTAGATCTAGACTTTGAGGAGGAAAGATAGGAGCTTTATACCTCCTCTTGCTGCCAAATGGTGAGCTTGTTCCAAATCCTTGAGCTCAAGGTACTCAAGGGCTTCTTCTCCAACCTTTCCTTTCTTCTTCCAAGCCCTTCTTTGCCAAAATAAGCTCAAAATGTCAAACACACACACAAGAAAGAGTATGAACGAGTTAGGGTTTCTCTGAGGGTGATGGACACGTGAGGAGGCCAAAAGAGAAGGCTTTAATGGGGTATTTATAGGTCCTTAACCCTAAAATTAGGGTTTAACATCTGCCCGCGTACGCTGGGTGTACGCACCCGCGTTCCTCGAATCCAATGGCCATTACGCCCCGCGTACGCCAGGTTACGCCTGACGTACGGCTTATGGGCGGCCCATCTTCTCGGCCCACTTTCTAAGTCCACTCCACATGAATCCATTGACCAAGAGATAGGCCAAAGCAATTATTAACTCAATACATTAAATAATACCTCGAGGAACGGGTGTTACAGATGTGGTTGTCGCGATCAAATTACATTTTCTCCCTCATTTCCACAACATACTTCCCACTACTTGTTCGGGTGTGGGTGTGACTGGATCTCGTGGAACCTCCACACTCTATCGCTTTCCTTCTATCTTGTTGGGCCAAACCCAAACGTCACTACTGATTTTCATAATAGGCCACTAGCCTATTACCGCCTTCCGCCAACAACAACCAATATTCAATAACAATTGGTCCACCAGCCACTAGGCTAGTCCTTTAGTCCCCACCTCTACTGTTACTCGGATAAACCAAGCTTGCCTCCTCCATGGACATTGGTTGCTAATACGAGTCAAACTTTTCAAGATCAAGCAACTTCTCTCACTCAAATGTTTAATACATGTCTCTGAATGACATAACAAACTTGATATAGTACATGTAATATAATGCACTTCCCATATTCATGTCAACTTAGATATCCTAAACTTTGTTACTAATAATTGAATTTATTCTTTGGTATTAATTGGTGATGTATCAATTTTTTTGTACTAAAACAGGACACACCACCCTTCCTCACTATTATTCATATGTACTATTTCTCTCAATCACGTTCTTATAACCCTTCATATATCAAATTTATTTTTTATTCATTTTTTTTACTCATGAAATTAAAGGTTTTATTGAATTTGATGAATTTGGTTTTTCCATGAAGGTTTATCGGACTCGTCAAATCCTCCTACAATGTGACAACACATGGGATCTTTATCCCGTCATAAGCTCGTCTCCTTAAACTCTTATCTCTATCAGCACAACCATATGGTATAAGCGTCTTGGTTACCCCGGTCATCTCATTTTTCATAATTTGGTTTCTAGTCATTTTATTCCTTGTATAAAAAAGTCTTCTATTTTGTGAAACATCTTAGTAGGCAAACATGTTAGCTTCTCAGATTCTTTTGTGTATTTTTCCATTTTATCCTATTAATTAAGATGTATGGAGTTCTCCATTGCACAGCGGTAGTGATATTAAATATTATGTCATATTTCTTAATCATTAATCTCATTTTCTATGGGTGTATTTGTTACATTTCAAATATGATATTTTCTTTAAATTCCTCCATTTTTGTGCTCACATTAAAACTCAATTTAATCGGGACATTCAATCCTTTCAATATGAAAACAATGATAAATTTGATAATACTCAATTGCATCATCTTTGTGACTCAGAGATATCCATATCTATTTCTCTTGTGCCCACACTTCCCAACAAAATGAGAAATCAGAAAGAACACTAAGGACCATAAACACTATCATTCATACTAGTTTCCAAACACACATTCTCTCGCCTATTGAGTTGAAGCCTTACATAGAGCTATCTAACTCCTCAACATTATTCCATCCATGATCCTAAAAAATGACACTCATTTTCGTAAACTCTTCCTTTGAAAACTTACATATTCCCACATATATTTTGTGATATATCTTTGCCACCTACACATCACCTAAAACAATTTTTCCCTACGAACCACCATGTGTCTTCCTTGGATACCACTCCTAATATCATGCATATATGTATCTTAACCTTGCCACCACGAAATTCATTATTTTACGTCTTATGGTCGTAGATGAAACCAACTTCCTCTTTGGTCCATGACACCTTTTGGTCCATGACACCTAATCAACCACCGTCACATGAGTTTTGTACATACTTTTGATCTCATTTTTATTCTATAATTTCCTACACTCCAAGTATCATACACACACCTAAACTAGTCATCTCCATTCCTAATGTAAAAAAGAAATTTTGAATCATCAAGTAGGAGTAAATTTAAGTTTAAGACTAATTCTAAGTCTAATGTCAAAATGAGTTAAGGACATAGTAAAAAAGAACCCACGGTTGATTAAAATTACCCTTAGATTTTCTGGTTTAAATATGCATATGATAACGCTTAAATTATACATATATTTCGTGCACTATCTTAGATTTGTATGATTTAAATATGTATTCGATAACGTTTAAATTATACATAATGATCTTACTCCAAAGTCCAAATCAACATTTTGGCAAGTGAAAGTGGTAGTAAATAACTGGTGGTACCGAATAACCCGACTCTAGCATGACATCATCCAACTCATGAACTGAGAATTCATCTACATCTTCTAGCTCCACCTATCTTACTCTGCCTTGAATGTATCTTATTACCGGAAACTTTGTGAACTTCCCACCATGATGGAGCTTAATGATGAGCATGGTTGGATGATCTTCTGTAAAAATCAACAGCATATAACAAAAATTAACGCTTGTTAGTCATTGGAGATCGATTATAAGGTTTTCAAAATTTCGACTAAGAAACATAACACATTACCGTAGAAATTCCTTGCATCAAAATCTTGATAGCTTGGCCTAACTGTCCGCAAAATGAAGATCAATCGAACGAGTATGGTTGTTCGATTAGGGTTTTCTCAGTAATGAAGAGGGTTTAGCGGATAGTCAAGGGTTGATTAATAAGATTTTATTGAGATTCTGTTTAGAGATGGCTATAAGATAAATACAATAAGATAGACAAGTGAGAAGATGAAAAAACCTCTGACCTTACAAGCACGTCGTACAAATTAACTGTAAGAAGTAACGTCGTACAATAAGATAGACAAGTGGGGACCAAAATGACTAAAAAATTCAAAAGTCAGACAAAATTTGCAAATCCAAACCTTTTTAGACCGTACCAAAAATAAAAATAAAAAATGGCAACCACATGGACCATTTTGTAATTTCCTCTTATATCAAATATCAATAGTGCTTGTTTAAATATACGAAGGCGGTTCGAGGATTGGTGGGGAGCGGTTATCAGAGAAAGAGACTCTGTTTTACTTCCGGAGACCGATGGCTGCTTGTGCCAATGGCGATGACAAGAGCGACATGGAAGAGCAAGAGGAGGCTTTGGTGGCTTTGATTGAGCACCGTACCAAAGAAGTGAACCATCTCCGTATGCGTTTAGCCTATTATGAGTCCGAGGTTTCGTTACTCACTCACTCTCATCACATTTTACTTACGATTGGTATACTTTTTGGTTAGGCGCATCACTTGGTCAAGTTCAGTAGTAGAAGTTGGTGTTACTTGTTGTTTTGTTTCAAACACCGATCTTGGGGTTTAGGGTACATATGTTCATCTGAGCTTTTTCTACTTTGGGAAAACTTATTACATTGTGTTAAATTAGGGATTTAGATGTATGAAGTCGCTGAAAACAAGTAAATGATGAAAATCACTACTAAGAATCAAAAAGTTGGTCTTGGTTGTGCATGCAAAGTACTTCTATATGAATGGTTAAATAGGTTTACTGATCATGTGCACATATATGAACTCATAATTATCAGTAGTTTTGTAGCATTCGTCATTTCCATTTGGGGTATACATGAATATGTATTGTTTGTCAAGGTGATGATCTTCTTCTTGTATGCCTAATTAGTAGCCAATGAGTTTGATTACAGTAATAGCTAATATTTCTTTTAAGAAGGTATGCAGCTTGATGAATCTCTGAAAAAGTTGGAGGAAACACAACGTCAATTAGCTCGCCTTCGAAGTCGAAGTTGTGATCCATCTACAAGATCTGTTGGAAGAAATGTAAGAGTCAAAAAAGAAATATCAAGTAGTCCTTTAAAGATCTGTGAAGATTCTTTTCATAACCTTTCTGATGAAAGTAATGGAAGCTCATGTGATAGCTATCAAGAAGCATGTCTTAAAACTATCAAAACCAAATCAAAACCACTGCTTGTTATTCCTGGTATGAATCCAAAAGTATCACCATCTTTGAATAAGATGACTGAATACAACAAAGCTTCAAGTGAAAGAAAAAGTCTTGTGAAAGAAAAAGGTTATGGACTCTTACCTAAACAGGAAGCTGTTGAGAGTCAAGCCAGAGGGACAAAAAGAAAATTTGGTAATTCTTGAACGATTAACCTTTTTTTTTCTCTTACCATTGTGCATTATGGGTGTAATATAAGCTTCAATACTTTTATTTTATGAGATTGGAGACTTATTGTTTACTATGTTTTATGAATTTACAGAGGAAAATGAACATACAGATTTGAGTGAGGTGATATGCAGCTCTTCTTCACCATGTATAGTCAATTGTGGTACATCCAACCACATCCCAAGTCAACATAAGAGGAAACTGAGAAGTCTTGTCCTTTGTCCAACAAATGATCAACTTTTTGCTACCAGGTATTTTCCCTCCCTAATTTCATATCAAAATTTTCATGTTATCTCAAGAATTCAACTTTTGACCTTTCCTTGGAATCTTTTTTCAGTGCTTTGGATGCTATTGTAAATATGTGGGAAATTCAGGACAGAGGGTATGTTTCAACCAAATCAGATCTAGTTTATGTATATGGTGGTGCTAAAACTTTTTATATTAATCAAACATGTTGGTAATTTGAGGTTAGGTCACATGCGAATCTTCTTAGTTCAATCAATTGTGCATCCATGAAACAAAGAAGATGGCCTGAAGATGTTGCTTGGCATCCAAATGGAGGCAGTTTGATCTCTGTGTATAGTGCAGATGGTGGGGACTCTCAGATAGCAATCTTGAACTTGAATGAAAGACAAGAGGTAAACCACTAAAACTTAGAGTAAATTACAGAAATGGTCCTTGTGGTTTGGTGGAAATAGCAGGCTCGATCCAATTTCGATTTTTGTTGCATGGCTTGCCCTTTTGGTTTCATTTTGTGTGCAGTCTTGGTCCCTGAGTCATTATATCGTTAAATCTAACTACTCGGCTGTTAGTTTTATAAATATGACCATTTTGCCCTTGGTCCAAACTAATAAAAAAAACACCATACGGTCCAAATTTGTAATTTACTTAAACATATAGATATGCATATATCCATATATGCATATATACATGTAGTAAATTACAAATTTGGACCGTATGATGTTTTTATTAGTTTGTTCCAAGGGACAAAATGGTCATATTTATAAAACTAACAGCCGAGTAGTTAGATTTAACGATATAATGACCTAGGGACCAAAGACTGCACACAAAAGGAAACCACAAGGATGAGCCATGCAACAAAAATCAAAATTGGACTGAACCTGCTATTTCCACCAAACCACAAGGTCGGTTTCTGTAATTTACTCCAAAACTTATTATTCTTATGGATTTTTTAATTTTTTTTTTTCCAGGTAACATTTTAAAGTAAATGATCAGTGAATTTATTTATTATCTATGTTGCAGGAAAATGAGGTGAGATTCTTGGAAAATAAACCTCATGTTAAGGGCATTATAAACAATGTGATGTTCATGCCATGGGACAACAATTGTTTCATTACTGGTGGAAGTGATCATGGTGTTGTTCATTGGACTCAAAAACACAATGATGATGACAACAACAACTCATGGAAACCTAAATTGCTACACAGAAGCATCCATTCTTCAGCTGTTATGGGAGTTGCTGGCATGCAGCAAAAACAGACAGTAGTTTCTGTTGGAGCTGATAAGAGAATTATCGGGTTTGATTTACACACTGAAAAACCAGATTATAAGCATCAAATAGAAAGCAAATGCATGAGTGTTGTACCAAATCCATGCGACTTCAACCTTTTCATGGTTCAAACCGGGTAAATTGCAATTGATTCACTTATATGGTGAAAAGAAACAACCTCTTGATTCTTATTCTGTGCTAATATTTTGGCATTTTTATATACTTGCAGGACTCCACAAAAGCAACTTAGGTTGTTTGACATAAGGTTGAAGAATACAGAAATACATGAATTTGGTTGGAAGCAAGAAAGCAGCATGTCTCAATCGGCTTTAATCAGTCAGACGTGGTCCCCGGATGGTTTATATATAACTTCAGGTTCAGCGGACCCCGTGATTCACATATTTGACATACGGTTTAATGCTAATCAACCCTCGCAGTCTATCAAAGCTCACCAAAAACGTGTCTTTAAAGCTGCATGGCATCACTCTCTTCCTCTCCTCATTTCCATATCCTCAGATCTCAATATTGGATTGCATCATATCACATAAACTATAAATCTGGTTTTGGGAAATTTTGAATATTGGCTTTCTTTTGCACTATGGAAGGGGAGAGCAGAATCCTAACTTTGCAAAAGATGGATTAACATTTTTGTGTGTGTCTGTGTGTATATATTTTTTTTAAGTAAGTTTGTAGAAGGGAACATGGTTGTTGCAGAAGGAAAAGAACTAGCATGAGATTTTGGAAATGGTATGCAAGCTTACAGAAAAGCTAGAATTTATAACTTGGTGAGCGAGCATGTAACTATGGACCTCACACACGCACAGACAGACACTTTATGATGATGCCGTATATGTAGGGTTTGATGTGAACTATATGATAAAGGAAAAAAATAAAAGTTAAAAGATGAGTGGATGCTCGAAACTTCTTCAATCATAGAATAGAGTGAATGCTTGAAATTAATGTTTGGTATTGTGGAAAGAAAGCTTAGAAATTGGATAGTATGGACAAAAACAATAACTTTTAATTGAAGATTCGGAGTTGTGCTTTTTAAAAGATTTCTAAATAATAAAAATAAAGGTAAGTAATAAATAAATAAAACAATAATAAATAATAGTATAATTTTTAAAAATTTTAGATAATTGATTTAAAAAAATATTACATAATCTTGTATTAAACTATTAAAATAAAGAAATAAAGTAAACAAAAACAATGATTAGAGGGGTGATGAAAATTAAATAACGTGTAAGAGCTCCAAATAAAAAAATTTGAACGGTAAATAATGTATTAATGAATAACTTGTTAAAATCACCAATTATGTTATGGGGTGTGTGTTCTCATCTGTTTTTCGTTTTTTGCATACCACTTCAATGTCACGTCATTCCTCTTCCCTTTCCCTTACTCCCTTTCCATCTAGGAAATAATCAATAGCATTACCTCATTTTCTATATGCCAAATGCTCTTATACTATACAAGCGAGATACTCTCACCATGGTTGGGTAAAAAGTGAGAAGGGGGTGGGGGTGTTCACCTCAGCAGCTCACCTTCACCGTACCTCCACACCCCATAGCCTTAGCAGGGAGATCACCTAAAAAGTAAGACCACAACTAAATGAGATCTAGGCTCATACCGTCATTATAGGATTCAAACCCTTATGTGTAATTTGCACAACTATGATAAAAACTATAACGCAAAATAACCAGTTTTGGTAGAATAATTCAAAATTTTCAAATTGATGGACCAAAAATAAAAGTTTGAGTAGTTAACTACCTTGAAATAAACTTTAATGAACCATATTGAACAATTATGCAATTTGGTTATTAAGTATTGTTATCTTTCGATGAAATTTCTTTATTATAAAAAAACGAGTTTTTGGTATTTAATTGTTAGTAAAACTTCATGTCATTTGCCTTCGGTACCACATACAACATATATACACATAATAACACGTGGTCGTGTTAGGTACGTATGAACCCTATATGATAGCAAATAGTTGTGTCGGGTCCGTATCAACCCCGTATGACAACAAATAGTTGTGTTAGGTCCGTATCAACCCCATATGACAACAAATAGTTGTGTCAGGTCCGTAGCAACCCCATATGACAACAAATAGTTGTGTCAGGTTCGTATCAACCCATATGACAACAAGTAGTTGTGTCGGGTCCGTATCAACCCCATCTGCCAGCAAATAGTTGTGTCAGGTCCGTATTAACCCACAAACATAAGCATACAGACATATAAGTGTGAGTCACAAAGATAGCAAGCACATACAAGCATATCAGTAAGTGTCATAAAGACCACTACTATCCTACAACATAATCCAGTGGGCCGGTATTAGTGCCTTCGACCCATAAGCACAGTGAGGAGACTTACCTGAACTATTCAACAGAAGCCCAAAAACTACCTCAGCAACAAAACATCCCAACCCAAGCTTCCTAAAAGCCAAACCGAAACAACTCATTAGCCAAATGTTCAATACTACTCAAGTTTGACCAAAAGTCAAACTGGTCAAAAAGTCAATGGTCAAAGGAAGTAAACAAAAGTCAAAGTCCATGGCAGCTGAATACGCCCAACATACACGATCTCATCCTAGTACGCTACGCGTACTCTCAGGTACGCCCCACGTACGAGTTGGTTCCAATATTCCCATTAAGCACTTTATCCTTTAAGGCCTTTTGTCTAGAGCTCAGATCTAGACTCAAGACATCGACTTAAGTCATAAAGTTTCTACCTTTATGACTTTCCATGGCTAGAAAAGGCTCAAAAGCTAAAACCCTAACTTATTTATCCATCAAGACATCTTAACTATTGCATGGAAGGGATAGAAGGACCAAGATCACATTTTTATGGTTCCTAATAGCTCCATAATGGATAAAGTTTCCAACTTTATCCATTAGAATGGTCCAAACAACCAAGATCTAGTCTTATAAGTTTCAAGGGACCAAAATTGCATCTTTCTTACTTAATCCATTAAGTTCAAGTTCCCAATCTTTAGATCTGAATCAAAATGATGTTTAGATGGATAAAGTTCCCAACTTTATCCATAACAGGGTCACAAACTTTCAAGATCTAAACTTTATACCAAAAGCTCATAACATCCAAATCTAGCTAGATCTAACAAATAAATCAATAAGATGCAAACTTTATACCTCCAGAAGAAAGATCAAGGGGAACAAGGTCTAGATCTACAAGCTTCAATGCAACCAGCACTACTTCAATGAGCTCATCATTCTCCAAGATGCATCAAGAACACTCCAAAGCACTCAAAAACTCAAGGATCTCATAAATGGGGCTAGGTTTTCAATATTAGGGTTAGAGAGGATGGAGGCTGAAAGAAATAAGGGTTTGGGGAAGTTAAGGAGCTTAAATAGGACTCAAAACCCCGGAATAAGGGTTTGGGTCCTGGTCGCGTATGCCCAGCGTACTCCTGGTATGCCCAGCATACCGGGTTAATCCTTTGCGATCTTCCTTGCCTAGTACACCCAACGTACTAGGCTACACCTAAAACCATCCAAACTTCCAACGGTCATAACTTCTTCGTTTCAACTCCGATTTCGTCGATCTTTATATCCACAGAAAGGTATTGAAGAGCACCACAATATTATCTAAATATCTTGGACTAAAAACTTCTCGAACAAAAATCCATATTTCATACAAGAACCCGGCATTTGACTTTTCCCTTACTACCCTTCGGCCCAAAACACTAACCAAGGGCTTGGATCGCATAACCAATATTATCAACATCCAACAAGGCCTAAACCCTATTCCCTTAAAGCCCAAGGCCTTTACTTGATCCATTTATTGTCCATAATCTTTAAATAAGAAACTTTTGGAAACATGATGTTACAGTTGGTCACGTCTGTTGATCAGAAGAAAGAAGCAGCAGTAGAAGGGTTGTTGTATGTTAGCAAGCAAGACTCAAGAAAGCAAGGAACAAAGCAGAAAACAACAGCAACAGACCGTGATTGCTGACAACAAATAAGAGAAGACCGAAGACCGAAGGAGGTAAATGAGACCGGTGGTTTGCCTGAGATAAAGAGACCAAGAGAAAGAAAGAAGTTTGGATTAAGGGGGAGAATGTTGGTGTTAATCCAAACTGAGTCAAAGTCACGTGATTATCTTACGGGTAGTTTAGTCTTTTTGTGTTTGATATAGTAAAAAGCCATGAACGCTAGTAGCTTGATTAGTGGGTAGAAGTTCCATTTTTTTAGGATAGCTTGGCTATTTATTTACATGTGTTGCTGTTATGAATTAGAAGATAATAGAAGAAGTTTCCCTTTGAAAGTAATATTGCTAGTGTCAATACAAATTGTTGTTTTGATAGGTGTTCAGGGCATGTGATTCTAGGTCGGAGAGGACTGATTTCCAACACAAATTCTCTCCGCTCATCATGGATCCATTTAGGGAAATCTTGAATCTTGTCTTACGGATGAATCATGATGATCTTTTGTACTAGTTGTTGATCATCATGCATAAACATACGGAAGTATACCTGCATCTAAAATTTGCACAAGATGCATTAAAATGTTCTTTTTTTTTAGTAGATTGATGTATATAGATATTTTTAATTAATTTATCTAAAGTGAACATGATTGTTACATAATGAAAAAAAAAAACTAGCATGAGATTTTGAAGTTGATATGCAAGCACACTGCATGCAGCATGCATGCGCTCTCTTGACTGATTAGTAATTTCTTGGATCAAAATCTTGCCAGTATTGCATAGATCCAAAACTAGATGAACTTCCCTGTAGATTTGTTGAAGGTGACGAAGGAGATTGCAAACTATAATTTGTATTATAACCCATTTGATCATTTGCTTCCAGATAAAACTGTGATTGTGAGTAATGAAGATCATAATTAGGAGGCATGGTGGTGTGATACAGTTGCTGATCAGGCTGCATAGGTGGTGGCTGTAGGTGGTGAGGACGAGTGGTTAGATAGCCTAACTCAGAACGCCCTGGTTGAACTCGTTCTGGGAAATTGAGCTTTGCTTTATTGCCTTTGAATCTAAGAGCAGCTTCATCGTATGCAATGGCTGCTGCCTCCGCCGTCTCAAATGTGCCAAGCCACACTCTTGCCGCCTTCTGTGGGTCACGTATCTCAGCAGCCCATTTCCCCCATGGCCGTTGTCTTACGCCTCTATAGTGTCTTCTTCTTTGGGTCCCTTCTGTTCAGCACACACAATTATATTGCCCTTTAGATTTTTGAAATGTATCTTTTTTATTTCTTCTCCATTTTAGGTGACATATTATTAGCTAGTTTATTGTAAAGGCTACCTTATTTAGAAGTACATTGACTAAAATAAGTAGTTGACTGAAAATACATACTTACAGTTACAAGTTATACTCATGGTCTTTTTCTGACCTAAAATTGAACAAGTACTTGAACTACTAAAACCTTCAATTGTTATATGATAACTCATTACACATTTGTTATTAGGGTTTTCTGATTGATGATGTAAAGTTGATTTGCCATATATATATGCCAACATGGCCTTGAACCTCAACTTATATATTATTGAGGTTAAAAATGGAACCAAATTATATAAAAAACAATAGAACCATAATTAATTTGACCAAATAATCAACAGGCATGACTAAAGGCGTTTATATATATAGCATGCAATGCAACGTACTGGTTATCGGAGGAGAGAGAGAAATTGACCTGGTGATTGTTGAATGGCGTTGGGTGGTGGTTGGTTTGGAGTAGCAGAGGAAGCGGAGTAGGAGGAGATTTGATTAGGATGATGATCAGTGGCTGTGGCTGTGTCTTCACCACCGATGACTTGAGATAGGGCGGAGACGATGGCTGTCATATCCTCTTGTGACTGATGTGAGTACACTGGAAATATGTCGTCCTCTTCTTTCTCAAGGTTCCTCTTCCCTTGCCTCCTGTGATGCATCATTAATCACACCTCTCTTTTTATATAATATGTGTTTACAGACAGAGTTTTGTGCATAGAGAGAGAGAGAGAGAGAGAGAGAGAGAGAGATCAGGTCTGATATATGAATGAATAGTTAGGAGGCAAAACCCATTTCTCAAGTAACTTCCACTACAAGATTTAGAGAGAGTGTAGGATTTGAGAGCAACACAAACAACAGGTATTTATACTGTTGCACTTAAGCATTCATGGTGTGAAAGGTGTTTAACGCGTCTGAAAATATATATATATATATATATATATATATATATATATATTATATATAGAGGGTGAGGTTCAATAGAGAACCATAATTAACCAAGGAACAATTTTTTTTTCAACCAATTTTTTTTCAACTTTTAACTTATTTTTTATCAAAAAAAAAACTAAAAATACAGAAAATAATAACTTTTTATCATTTTTCCAATGATCTCAAATTCGATTTTTTTTTTCTTTTTATACGTCAAATTCACAATGTGAATTTTTGAAAATTCACAATGTGAATCCGGATTCACACGGTGAATCCGAAAAATATTTTTCACATTCACAATGTTAATATATGAATTTAGATATTTTTAGATTTTTTTTTCGATAAAGAATAAGCTTTAGAAATTGAAAAAAAGATTTGTTTCCTTGAAGAACCAATAATTATGGTTTTCTATTGAATTTTCTCTCTGCTCTCGCTCTCTCTCTCGCTCTCTCTCGCTCTCGCTCTCTCCTCTCGCTCTCTCTCTCTCTCTCTCTCTCTATATATATATAGATAGATATATATATATAGATATATATATAGATATATATTATATAGATCCGGTAAGAAAATTTTTTGGTAGGAAGGTAAAAAGTTTTTTTTCTACATATTTTTTTGACGAACAAAATAAATGAATCACTAGATGATTCATTTGTAAGATGATTCACAAGAAAAAATTCCCAAAAAAAACAATCTTTTTGATTCATTTTAAGTAAATTAAGAAAAAATTCACTTTTATGACAATTTTAGTGAACAACAAAATCATTGTATAAATGAATCATCGAGATGTTTTTTTTGAAATTTTTTTTTTGTGAATCATTTTACAAATGAATCATCTAATGATTCATTTTGTTTGTTCGCGAAAAAAATATATAGAAAAAAAACTTCTTACCTTCCTACTAAAAATTTTCTTCTTATTTGATCTTGACTCTATATATATATATATATATATATATATTATATATATATATATATATATATATATATAGTGCTGAAGTCATATAATCAAATTTATAAAAATAGGAGAATCTTCTTATTCCACCATTCTTTTATATATATATATATATATATATATATATATATATATATATATATATATATATATATATATATATATATATATATATATATATAGTGCTGAAGTCATATAATCAAATTTATAAAAATAGGAGAATCTTCTTATTCCACCATTCTTTTGTACTCCTTTTATAAAAAAAGAAAGAAGTATAACACGTTGTTCACAGATACAACTCTTAAAAAAATAATAATAATAAAATAAAAAAAAATAAAAAAACTGGTTTTACGGCTTCTAGCATATTTATTAAAAACTATTATAGAATGTTGATTAAATATAATGTTACGCAAATTCTATGAATTTCATCTATTTAAAATTAGGTGTGTATTATAATAGTGTGATGATTATTAATTAGTCAAATTAATGCCTTATTTATTTATTTATATTTTATAAATTAAATTTAGAAAATTAATGTTTGAAATGGGAAGGAATATAATTAAGATACTTTAGTTGTATTTCTACGTCTTCGAATATTGACATTCTTGCTCCCACTTTTTTGTTATATTACCTTTTGGATTCTTCAAGAACGGTCTGATTTTCGATTAACACAAACCGCTACGTGATTCGCTCATGTATGCGGTGGTATTTTCCTATTATAATACTATTCGTTAGTGGTTATATGTAATTCTTTGTTATAGTGTTTTTTTTGAAAAAAAATAAACCTTCCCTTTTATTTTCTTGTTAACCATAATAAAATTCAATTTATTCGAGAGATATATAAATTTCAGCATTCTATAAATCAATATTAAATGAAATTTGGATATTATTTTCTCCTTTATACCATTTAAAAAAATAAAGTTAAAATTTTAATATAATTATGAAAGTATGTTTATGCTGAAAAAAATTTATGGTTTGTTTATCTTTTAAAAAAAGTTGCTACCGTTCTAAAAGAATCTCCAACATACACAATATCTTGCTTGTAATTCATATTCCAAAAGTGGACGCGTTACAACGTAAAGTGTCTTTATATATTGCATGCAAACGAGTGTTCAAGATGTATGTTAGTATATTCGTACGTGGCAAAATTGTAAGAAGCTCAAAAATGTTTTATGATGTTTACAAAGCAATACTGTTTAAAGAGTACGTTTTATAGATGTTTTATATGATTAAATGATTTTTAAAGAGTTTTATAGATGTTTTCTTATCCAGATCCACAGATCGAAAAAACATGTTGGATAGATAGTATTTAAAATCCATACATTGTGTTCATGATATCAGAACAAAAGAAAACTAAAGACGACAATGTATTCAATTCCTTAAGAGTTACAAGTGAACCCTTAAAATAAAATTCCAATATACGACTCAAAACTTAACACTAAGTACCTATAAACTATAAGGAAGACTATTGAAAATAGTTACGAACAAAATTAAACGGCTCAGGCATAACTAAATTTTACCAACAATTAATCAATATCACTAAAGATTCAAGATTCCAACACTCATTCACAAGCTCCGGCCTAAGAGATCGTTTGGTTTGCGGAATGTTTTCGGAAGGAATGAAATATATAAAAGGAATTAGAATACGAAGGAATTGATTTTTGCTATCTGTTTGGCATGGAATTGAATTTGTTTTATGTGTGGTTTGTAAATTTGTCAAAGGAATTGAAAAGTAAATTATAGAACATTCATTAATTAAACTCTTACCCACTCAAACATATGTGAGCTTATTGGCGTCATGGTCGAGTGTGTGCGGATGTGGGTGTTGGGATGGGTATTGGCTATTTGTGGGTGTGGGGTAGGGTGTGTGGTGTGGATATAGAGTAGGTAGGTGTGCGGTGCGGTATGTGGGAGTAGGGTGGGATGGAGTGGGGCAAGTGGGGGTAGGGTGGTGTAGGGGTAGGTGTTGGGTGGGGTGGATGGTCGTAGGTGGGTGTGGGAGTTAAATAGGGTGGGGTGGGCTTGTAGGCATCGATATATGGGTGTGGGTGTAGGGATGGGATGGAGTGGACATTGACGTCGACATGGGCTTGTTGGCATGCATATACATGTGTATGTGAACTTGTGGGTGTGGGTATGGGTGTGGGTGTAGGTGTAGGTGTGGTGTGGGTATGGGTGTAGGTGTGGTGTGTGTGTGTGCATGTGAGTATAAGTGTGAGTTAGATGCGGGGGTATACGATAGGTGTAGTAGAGGTGGGTAGGGACCTAGGGTATGGTAAGTGTGTAGTTGTAGGCTTGTGGGTGTGGGGGTGGGTATGTAGGTGGTGGGTGGGTGTGGTGTAGGAGAGATAACGATAATATATTTTAATTTGATGAATCATGTCGAAAATCAAGAGAAGGTCCGAGGAGATTTTTGTCTTTATAATAAAACATCTAAAAACTTTGTGTTTTGCTAAAGAATGATCAATTCTTCTAGACACATAATTTAATGGAATCTAAGGAATTTTAATTTCTTTGATTTTATCAACAAAATGCAATTTGTATTGGAATTTACATTCCAATTCTTTTAAAATCCTTCGAAATCCCGTGAACCAACCATACTTTTAAGGGTTCCGTGAACCAACCATACTTTTAAGGGTTTGTAAGGACCATGTCAACTACCTTTTAAATAATTTTAATTAAAATTAGTAGTTTTAATTTACTTCATATGATCCGTTCCAAAAAATAAAAATTACTTCATATGATAATAATTTATGGATTTTGCATACATTTTAATCACATTTTGATATATTATTTACAAAATTAAACTTCCATTTGCAGTTCAAGAACTACCATTATGACCTGAAACGATGATTTGGAAATTAAAAGTCTTATGCGGACTCCTAGGTGAATAAAACATGAATTATTTTGTACTTATTTCTCAAAAAATGTTAAGTATGATAAATTAGAGCTACGATTTAGGTGATTATAGCAATAGTCCAAAAACATATCATTCACCAATACAATTGAAGCTTCATTGCATCAAGTGGTGGTGAAAGATCAAATATAATGACATCAAGTTTCATCTCCACATAATTTTTTAACCATGGATGCTCACTAAAAAGGTACATTCGTACCTAAGCCTCTAGTGTACTTCGACCTCGCTAAAGCTTCAGAGAGATGTTGATTTTAGTTTTTTGGGCTTTACAAAGTCTATTTTATTTCTTCAAAAAAGATGACTAAGCAGAGTTACAAGAATTTTTACTACTTCCTTAATCATGTAATTTGGTTGATCCTTTAAAAATGATGTTGATTATAATAAATTTCTTGGAATTGCTTATGCTAATGATAATATAATTAGTGTATATCTTGACCACTTAAATTAACTTATACTTGACCGGATTAAGGAGGGAATATTTAGAAGATAAAAATTATGAAAATGAAGGTTGGGACTTAGATGAGGATATTGATTCAAAGCTATATGATAAAATGTCTAGTCATAATGAAGATGATTAAGAGGTAGGATAACAAGACATTTGGGCTTCTTTGTTTAACAAACTTTTTTGTTGATGTCAGGAACACAACATGTGATTCTAAAAGTGATAATTACCTAGATGAAAAATACAAGAATGAAGGCCTTTTGTATCTTGTACATAATGAAAAGTATGAATAGGATAAAATTCTGCCTATTTTAGTTATGGAGTTCTCAAACCCTAAGGAGCTTACATAATGCTTGAGTAATTATGCACTACCAAATGGGCATGACCTTTTGCTTGAAAAGAATGGTGTATATAGATTGTCAGTTAT